GGGGGGGGAAATGAGGAGCAACCTGCGGCGCCTGGATGAGATGCGCAATGCAGCGCTGTTTGGAAAGAAGAAAAAGAAGACGCCTAAGCAGTGAGTGGTGTTGCCCTTGCGATTAAATGTCTCTCTCCCTCCCCTGCTCTCTGCTGGAGCCATTTAATGAGGTGTGGTGGTTGCGTGCGGGGGGTGATAATTATAATCCGGTGTATCGACCACATTTTGTTTCTCTCTCTCTCTCTCTCTCTCTCTCTCTCTCTTCGCTGTTGCCTCTGCGTACACTTGGATTGCCGCAAGGGCGTACGTGTCCCCATCTCTCGTGGGTGCAGCGCCACGTGGTGGCGGGAGCGGAATAGCGAGCGCGTGTACGAGAGAGAGAGAGAGAGAAAGAAAGAGATGCAGATGAGGTGAGCAGTATGACCTCCGGCGTCGGTGTTACGCGTTTCTTGGCGCTGCAACAGTGGCGGTGTCAGCGTCTCGGTTGACGAGCAGCAAGTGCTGGTGATGTGTGTGCCTGTCGGCCCCGGAGTGGCTCCACCGAAGGGACGCATCTCAGAGTTGCGACTTGTCTCCCAGGGACGTGCGCCGGTGCGGGCCGCCACGCCGCCCAAAGGTATTCTGCCGGCGGTGGTGTTACCGCGGGCGTTGCTCTTCCTTGTGGGGCGAATGCCAGAGGAGTGACGCCATCGGCCGCTGCACGACATCCGAGTCGCTTCGGTGTGTGTGCCCGGCTCCAGTTTTGTCGCCGATGTGCTGCTGCCACTTCGGCGTGGCGCCTTGAGCGNCGAGTCGCTTCGGTGTGTGTGCCCGGCTCCAGTTTTGTCGCCGATGTGCTGCTGCCACTTCGGCGTGGCGCCTTGAGCGGTGCATTGCCGCTCCTGTTGCCCGCTCAGCCTCCCAACGCCGCCATTGTCTTGTCGTTGTGGCGATACAAAACAAAAAAAAAAGGAATTGCCCCTGCAAAGAGAAGGCGCCTCACTCCCGGTTTTGATTTTATTTTCTTCGCTGCTCACTCTTTCTAAATATATATATAAATATATATTGCGTGTGTTTGTTTCCTTTTTGATTTCATTTCCCTACCGCCCCGTGGCCGCAGGTAGTGTGGGAGGAGGGAACGTGGGCGTCATGTTACAGCGTGTCAAGGAGGGCCTGATGCGCCGTATTGCCGCAACGACGATGCCGCCGCAGCAGCGGGAATGCGACTCGTCAAGGCGCAAAATGCCTATTCAGGGGCTGCGGGCCCCCGCAGGCGCGTGCGCTGGGTGCGCAAGCACGAGTGATGCGGTGACAAAGAAGTCGAGGGCGACGCTGGAAGAGGGTTCACCATACGACGAGGCGGATCTTCGCGAAGTGCTGGCGAAAGATCCTGTGCCCCTTGAGGAGGTATGTAGCCTGAGCCGCCATGGTTGCCCGGCTGCGTTTCGCTGCGAGGTGTGGGGCTATCTCACCAGCATCCTGCAACCGCTGCTTTCAAACCGTGCCGCCGTGCTCGCACGCAAACGCAATGAGTACGTAGGTTATGTGCAGAGCAGCTACGAGGCGGTGGACTGGAGCGCCGCGTTGAAGACAGTGGAGGAAGAAGGCTCGGCTGCTTCTGCCGTTGCAGCGTCTGCAGTGCGCGCCAACGCATCTGTGGTGCAAAGAGCAGGGGGACACGATGATATTTCGGCCATGGCCTCGAGCGGTCATCACCTGAGGCAGGTGGGTGTGCGACTTGGCGTTGCAGGCGACTCAGAACTGCTTATGCTGAAACAGATACGTAAGGACGTTCCTCGCATGTCTGCCGGTGTGGCATATCTTCATCATAGTCGTGTCATGCTATCCATCGAGCGAATCCTATACATATGGGCGCTGCGTCACCCAGCGTGTGGTTACGTGCAAGGGATGAACGATCTCATCACCCCCTTCATCAGTGTCGTGCTGGCGAACCGGTTCTGCACCAGCAAGACAGTGGCGGAGTTGCACTCGCTGGGGGAAACGGAGCTGGATGTGCTGCTCTCCACCGAGGCCGTCACGGAGGAGGCGTGGATGTACACAGTCGAGGCCGATACGTACTGGATGGCCTCCTACCTGCTGAGCGCGGTGCAGGAGAACTACACGTACAATCAAAAGGGCCTCTACAGCATGGTGGAGAAGTTAGAGGCGGTGGTGCGTGCTGCGGACGTAAAGCTTTACAAGCACCTGCGCGAGGAGCTACAGGTAGACTTCAAGCAATTTGCTTTCCGCTGGATGAACTGTCTGCTGCTGCGGGAACTCAACGCGACACAGTCGCTGCGTTTGTGGGACTACTACCTTGCGGATGTGGAGAAGGACTGGAGCACCACGCACGTGTACGTGTGTGCGGCGCTACTGATGCGGTGGTCGCCCGCACTCCGCAGTGAGTGGGACTACGGCGTTGTGATGAAGTTCCTGCAGAATCTGCCGACGGAAGAACTAGGTGACCGCGACCTCAGCGCCCTCATATCGCAGGGTGTCATGATGCAGAAGCTGTACAACAACACGCTGAATCATCTCACGCCGTATTGAATATACATACCAAAGCAAAGCAGATACTGCGTCAACGAAGATCTCTCGTGGGAAAGCATACATGCATCGCTCTTACGGATGGGTATATATATATATATATATATATATGTGTGTGTGTGTGTGTCTGTTTGTTTGTGTGCTTGTTTTTTTTTTTGTTTTTTTCGTTTTCTTCTCTTGCTTAGTTTTTTTTGTTTTTTCGTGTTTCTGCCTGTTATGTTATTACTTCCAGACGCCTCGATTTGTCCCCAGCACACATCTAGTAGCCAATGCGGCACCTCCAGCGCCGCCGGTGGGGGAATAAGAAAAGATTTGGTTTCTGACGCGTACACCCGTCGCATGCGCACGCGTCTGTGTGCGGTTGGGTATATGTGCATGTGGGGGTGGTGGGCGTTGCGTAATTGTGGATCTCACGCAACTGTTTCCCACCTGCATATGTCCTCATCCGCTCACCCACGTGCACACACGCACTGCGACTCTTGTCTTTGCCTCTCACTATTGCTCACTCTCCCTCTCTCACTGCACTCACCGCCGCCACCACCACTAGCAGCAGCAACTTGCAAGGGCAGAAGCTCCAACCACACGAGGAGAAAAATAGAAGCATGGTGAAGCTTGACGTGTCACTGCTGCGCTTCCTCGACGACGAGGACTTCCGCGTCCTCACGGCGCTCGAGATGGCGATGCGCAACCACGACGTGGCGCCCACCGCCCTCGTCGAGCGCATCGCACAGCTCCCACACGGCGGCTGCCGCAAGCGGCTGCAGAACCTCCTCAAGCATAAGATGATCCACCACGAGAACACAATGTACGACGGCTTCGCGATGAAGTACGGGGCCTACGACTACTTAGCCCTGCGCACACTCAGCAGGCGCGGCAGCGTCGCCGGCGTTGGCCACCGCATCGGCTGCGGCAAGGAGTCTGATATCATTCTCGTGCAGGACGATGCCGGTCGCGAGTGCGTGTTGAAGCTGCAGCGGCTGGGGCGGTGCAGCTTCCGCACCGTCTCGCGCAACCGCGACTACAAGGGCGGCGGCCGCGCGCGGCACGGCGAGAGTTGGTTCTACCTCTCGCGCCTCGCATCGCAGAAGGAGTACGCCTTCATGCAGGCGCTCTACGACGAGGGCTTGCCGGTGCCGAAGCCGATCGACCAAAACCGCCACGCGCTGCTGATGGAGCTGGTGGCGGGCACGACACTCAACAACATCACCGCCCTCGGCGACGCGGCGCTGGTGTACCGCCGCTGCCTCGATCTGATGCTGAAGCTCGCGGAGCACGGACTCGTGCACGGCGACTTCAACGAGTTCAACCTCATGATCACGGAGGAGATGCGCGTCGTTGTCATTGACTTCCCGCAGATGGTGTCGTTGAACCACCCCAACGCGGCGGAGCTCTTCAACCGCGACGTGGAGAACCTCGCGAACTTCTTCCACCGCCGCTTCAAAGTGACAACGCTCTTCTACCCGACGATCGAGAAGGACGTGGTGCGCAAGGCGGATTTGGACCGCCGCGTGTTTGCGAGTGGCTGCTTCTCCAGCAAGCAGCAGCAGGACCTCGAGCATCTTCTGGAGGGACAGTCGACACGCAACAACGAAGGAGAATGTGAAGCTGAAAGTGAGGAGGATGACATTGAAGAGGCATCTGCTGCTGTTTCCGCCGACGGTCCAATGGAGGAGTTGTCAGTGGAGAGGCGCACCCCCCCTTGTGGTGCGCAGCCGTGTGGCAGCGGTGCCACTGAAGGGCAGAAGGCAGGGGAGGAACAACAACAACAAGAGGAGGAGGAGGAGGAAGATGGTGACGATACGAGTGAGGACGGAACGGGTAGTGAAGCGCGGTCACTGGACGAAGCCGTGGGCGAGGCAGCCATTCAGCGGCGGCTGCAGAGACAGGAGCAGCAGCAGCAGAACGCCAACTTCGCGCAGGACGGCACCATCAACGAGGCGTACGTGCGGTCGCAGTTGCGGCGCGATATTCGGCGCAAAGACAACCAGCAGTTCTACCAGGGCCTCCACCGCAACGTGCAGAAGGGGCGGCAGAAGCAGAAGATACGCCGCCAAGTGAAACAGGCGTTGGGGACTGGCTTCTTTGACTGAAACCAGTGAAACCCCAGTACGCCACTGCCCTTACGCTGTGCCTTACTTGGTTTGTGTTGCCACGGTTAATAGGAAGGAGACAATACGTTTAAGAAAAGAAATGAAGGAAGGATTGATAGTAAAGTAACGAGAAAGTGAGGGGTAAAACCAAAAAAAAGTGCACAGCGTATCTGTCTCAGTCTCTCCTTCATTCATATTGTATATATGTGTGTACGTGTGCGTCTGAGTTTGACTGTGACTGTGTTTACTCGGTCCATGGTGAGTTGATGCGTGCAACCCACATCATCGTGTTCGTTCCTTTCATTATCTCATTTGTTGCCTCCCCGCGAAGTCAACTAACATCATCATTGTCGTTGCTGAGGCCTAGCGAGCAGGACAACTAGATCACACGCACACATACATAGATACACCGCGATTAACAGGAAGATAAAAAATAACAGAAAAGCGATATTAGAGCGTGGAAAGAAGATCGCAATGACTTATCAGCAGTTGGGCTCGGGCCTTAACGCATTCTCTCCGTTCCTGCAGGAGATCACGAACTCCAACATTCTTGGCAGCGAAAACAAGGAGAACATCCACCCTGCTCTTCTTGTGCGCCATTCTGGGAACGGTAAGGGTGGGTGCAAAAATGGCAGCAGAAGCACTGGGAGTCACGTTCAACCCTGCAGTCCATCGATTGTGAGCGGCTTCTCCACCCCTATTACGAACCGCCACCGCCCACATCATACTGGGCTAACACCGGGAAATAATTCAACAAGAATCCCACGGCATGGTGACGCGATGTGTCACACAAACGTCAGCGTTGCAAATGTGTCGTTGCTGACAGGGAGCGACGTGGGAGACGCAAACGACAGCGGTTTCTTTTCGCCACTGAATCCGGACACGTCAACCGTCACTGCTGCAGCAGCCGCAGTAGAAGCCATCGCTCAACAGTCGAAGCTTTGCGAGCTCTTCGAGGGGTGTGTACCACTGCCGCAACAGCCGCGCAGCCTGAACACTAGTGTGGACTCCGTCCTCCTTCCACGAAACGTGCTGCAGGAGATTGACGATGATGACAGCATACAGTCGGTGAACGAGTGCATGCGGACCAATACTTCTATCCCGCCCTCTGCGACTGAGACAGATGATGCACTCATGCAGCTGCAGCAGTCACAGCCCGTTTTTCCCGTACCACAACTGTTTGCCGTTCCACAGCCATTACGCCAGCCCATCGTCACGCAGCACGACGGTCCACCACCTGAATACCCTCGGGTCGGCGGCAGCAGCAACAAAAACCGCCAGACGGTCACGCGTGTGGTGAGCGGCCCGTCTTCGCTCATTGCAGTGGGCGGGCGGCGCGTCCCTATCGACAAGCTGCACCTTCTCCTGCGGCCCTCGACACCCGAACGCGACAGCGACGGCGCTGCTGTACTTTCCGGCTCCGTGCCGCTCGTGCCCTCGGCGCGGCCCACCCCGTCGGCGAAGGCGGTGAAGGTAGTGGCGTCGCCAGCACCAGGGGTTCCCGGCTCTGTTGGGCGGCACCTGCCGTCGCCTCCGCCGCCCAACGGCAACTACCACCAGCAGCAGGAGACCATCGTTCTCGAGTTCCCGAAGGGTGTGCTGATGCGCTTCCAGCCGAACGCCTCGCAGCCGTTCCCGGTGATGGGGCGGCGCTACCTCGCAGCGGTGCGCAGCAGCCGCAGCCCGTACGACAATGTAGCGTACGAGGACGCCGGTTTCTGTGTGCATATGCTGCGGCACTACCCGGACGGCAGTGGGGCTGGGGCTGGGGCTGCTTTGGCGGACAAGGCGATCTATGACGGCCGCATAATTCGTGAGGTGGATGACAACTTGCCAGCCGATGTTGCACGCATGCGAGAATTGGGGGAAGCACGTAAAGTGGCTACTCTGGAGTGCCGCAAGCACTTCCGCTTTCTTAACTTGCCATTCGAGCTGGTGGACGTGCAATACACCTTTGACCTGCACATTTGCATCGTGTACTACCGTATCCAGCCGCAGGAGGGCACGAGCAGTCAACCGAACGTAGCCAGACTGATGCGCATGCTGCAGTTCAAGCTGAAGAGCAAGGTGTACCTGAAGCGGACCTCCGACAGCGAGTGAAGGTGTCAACTGCGTTTTAACCAACAAATCATAGAGTGAGAAGAAGTCGAAGGAGGAGGCGATGTTAAAGAAGAAGAAGATGATGAAGATGATTGTGACGAAGAGGGGGAAAGTGTTTCTCCCACATAAAAAAAAAGAAAACCGGACATGTGTGTATGTGCGGAGGGGAGAAGGAGAGCCAAGACGGAGGGAGAAGATGCACTTTGCAGGCGGCAGCGGAGACTACGTTGTGGCCAACGGAAGAGGAGGAAGGAAGAAGCGGTGAGCGCATTCAGCATCACGGATGTGGAGTGAAGGTACCATCTCTCATCGGTCTGCACCGTATTTGTGGTTTTGTGCAGGTTTCGTCCGGTGCACAAAACACTCTATATATCTTGACATCTAGATAGAAGGGAATAAACACGAATTTTTGTTTTTTTTGTTTGTTTGAGAGGTGAAGATGCGTCTCTCCTTCCGTCGCGCGTGCACAGTCCCCGCCTTAGCGCACACGCACACATACGCGAGCAAGCACGTGCCCCGAACAAAAAAAAAAAACTATAGAAGCACCAGTTCTTTTTTTTGTGTGTTTGGATTCGTTTGTACTCCCCTTTCCCGCTCTGTCTCCGCCTGCAATGCGGCACGGGCACGGGGCCTCACATTTACGTGCTGTTTATTTTTCACATATGTGTGTTCACTCCGTTGAGATGCGGCCTGTCTATCTGTCCCCCTCTGCGCGTGGGTGGGTTGTGTATCACGCCGTGCTGCGCTTGTTTGTTTTTATCGTTGTTGACCTCGACGGCCGCTGGCGGGGAGGGGGCAGCAGGGTAACGTAGAGGGGGGAGGGGGCGGGTACGGGAAAGCAAGAAAGAAAAGCGAATATGATGAAACGAGGTGTAATACGAAAGAAAAACAAATAGAGAGAAGAAGAAGAGGCAAACGAGAGAGCAGAATGCAGCATAGAGCAGTATATAAAGACACCTTACCCAGAGTGTCAAGGACGATGGTTATTATTGATGGTGATTCTTCTTGTTGTGTGGCGGCTGCCTTTCTACCACAAGCACACCCCTCTGATTAGATTCACTCGCCCAAGACGCAATCAAGCAGACAGCCATACATACACCGGAAATGAAGCCTCGTCGCTTCCCTCGTAAACCATTTGTTGTTGTTGTTTTGGTGTTTTGTTACTTCACCTGCCTGTTTGACCAGGCGGCCATATTTAGATGATGATGATGATAACGGAGCGGGCCTGCCACTAGTGCCACTGCCACGGCGCGGTTAAACGCGCAGTTCAGGGAGAGCGCAAGGGACCACATGCTGCTGTTGCTGCAACACGAATAGAAGTACAAGAAGCGTGTTGCAGTAACAGCAGCATGTGGAGTGGAGTGGCGTGGTGGTGCGGAGTACTGTTTCCATGTGTTCTTTGTTTTCCTTGTTTTCTGTCTTGTTTTTTGTTCTCCTCTTTGCGGTTCAGATGTTCTTGTCGTTGATATCGTCGGCATCTCGCCGCTGAGACGAGGCGGTGCGGATGCCGATGGGTAAAACGTGGAGAGAGAAAGGGAGAAAAATAAAAGAGAGAATGTGTATGTATGTATCTGGGAGAGAGAGGTGTGGAAGACATATGACGCGTGCTGTCGTTGTGATACCAGTAAGAGCCTGCAACGCTCGTATTCTCATTCTGATTTTTTTTGTGTGTGTGTATCTGTGATTATTGATTTGTTTTCTTTTTTTTTTTCTCCCCATCTGTTTCTTCGGCGGCTTACCCGTTTCTCATTGGGAAGCACCGAAGAGGATAGAAGGGCCAAAGCAACAGCGTGGGCTTGTCTGTGAGAGAAGGTTTAAGCGTAAAAGGATTGGGGGCGGCATATTTGGTGTGTGTTGTACCATGCAGCGGCGCACAGTAAGCCCCTCGCGTGGCCTCGGCCGAGGGCGTGGCGGGACGCCGGCCGCAGGATTTGGTCGCGCCGGCCTCACCAGGCCGAGTGCGGTCGTGCGGGAGTTACACAAGAACGATGCGGTAAATGCCCAGAGCACGCGCGGGCGCCAAATTGCGTCAGCCATGGAGGAACTGATGGACGACGTCTACGGTGGTGGCGTCAGTCAGCGGCCGCCGCCGCCGCCGCCGGCCTCGATGCGTGGTGGGGAGTACGCACGGTTTAAGACTTCCTTCAACGCATCTGTAGTGCCGCGGAGTTGGCGGAATGGGCCAGTGGATACCAACGGGCGTTGCTTTAACGCCAGTGATCGGAACCTGCTGTGTATGGATGTTCACGTCAACAACAAGCTGTGTGTGGTCGGCTCCGCTGATCATGGCTTGAAGGTCTTCGATATCGCCACTGGAAGGGAAAAGAGAAACCTTTACACCAAAAACTTCGGCCATACAGAGTGGGTGACATGCTGCAAATTCTTCCAGAGCACTGGACGAATCATTTCGGGAGGGATGGATAGCAAGCTGTGTCTATGGGAGTCTACAGGGCCGGTGCGCTGCAGCGATCTCTTAGGACACACCGGCAGCGTGAGTCAGGTTGAGGTCAACGACAACAGCGGCGTAGCCATGAGCAGCAGCTATGATCGTTCGCTGCGACTCTGGGACTGCGCTGCAGGCGGGCGGTGTGTGGCCACGCTGGCCGGCCACAAGGCGCCGGTAATGATGTTCTCCTGGTGCGGCACGCAGGTACTCTCGGGGGATCGGCAAGGCACCACCAAAGTGTGGAATGTTGAAACCGGTGACTGCCTTGCAACACTCGCCACAAAGCGTGGCCAAATCGGGTCGCTGTGGCACCTGCTCCACACCGATGTAGGGCTGCTTTCGGTGATCGGCGACCAGGGCGGCGTCGTCAGCATCCTTGACTTCCAACGTACCGGTAGCAAGCCTGTGTTCCAAGACGTGCTGCACCCTGGGGGTGTTGTGAGCGGCATTCGCTCCGTTGACGAGACGCCGTATTTAGTCACGGCGGGAGCAGACAAAGTGATTCTCACCCTGGACCCCCGCGCAGGCTTTGCGCCGGTGCACCGCCTCACCGATCACCGCGACTTCATATACTCGCTGGAGACTTTCGGACCGTTAATACTCTCCGGTGGTGGTAACGGCTGGCTGCTGGTGCACGACACGGTGACGGGGAAGTGCTGCTATGGACTCGGCGCCAACGCGGCTGCGGTGCGAGAGATATTCGCCACGCCGTCGCACCTCGTCGCTGCCGGAGATGACGGCAACGCGATGGTGTATGACTACATGTGAGGGACAAGGGCAGCCAATGGTAAAATGAAGAAAAAAGGAGGTAGAGAGAGAAATGTGAACGTTGAATATTGGCAGAAGAGGCGTCATACCATGTAAAGTAGTGCAGAGTGGAAAAGTCCTGCTAAAAGATTGTCGTCATGGTGTCTGTTGTTTTTCATTTGCTTCATTTTCCGTGTTACATTTATATTACTCGGCCCCATGAACGATGGTGCTGCACCACCACCACCAGAGTCGGAGTTGCCGCCCTTTACATACGCCCAGGCACACGAACGCATACACATTGTTTCTCTTCCCTGTCATAGTGTCAACTCAACGTGCTTTCCAATCGATTTGTCGGCAAGGAAGCAAAACCGCCTCTGATACTTATGCTTGTTTTTTTTTCTTTTGGTCTTCTTCTTTTTAGTGACTCTGGCGGCAATTTTCACCGAGTCTGATGACGCAGTCCTCTTTTTTTATTCCTTTTGGAAGACTCAGCGCAACTGGAGAAGGGGACATATGAAGGTGCACCTGAGTATAGGGGATGCGTTCTTTATTCGTTCCTTGCTTTAGAGGGAAAGTGGTCTTTGGCTCGTAAACCGTGTCACATTTTCCTTGCTTATGGCACCTGTTATGTGCAGCGTCATGCACGGCTTGTCATTCCCCCAACGAGAAAGGCAAGTGGCCTTCAAAGAGTGGTCCACCTCCCTTGCGGCTCCGATTGTAAGTGGGGGACAGTGTGGCAGGAGGTGATATCACTACCCTCATGAAAAGCCCCGTCTCGTATCTCTGGCAGTGTCACTGGAGCAGCCTCATCTTCGTCACGCCAGGTGAACTGCCCTTTGATGTAGCACCTTTTGTGCCTTGTCTCTACCACGTAGAACAGTTGGGAGGTTGTCACGCTTCATATTGCTCCTGCTGTTCGCACCTCGTTTCAAGACTGTGTGTTTTGGGACTCTGGCAGTGATTGCAGACCCTCTGAACGTACAGCTCATACATCCTGTGTTGCTGGGGCTACGTCTGTCCATGTACGTGCGCTGCAAAATGCGCGCGCAGCGGCTCCAACAGGTGTCGTTGTTTTGCGTGATTCCACCTCAGTGAGAGCGCTGTGAGTAATGCTGACCGTTTCCAATTGCTCCTGCACAAAGACTGGGCACGTAGAATGGCTCCGGTTGTTATAACTGACCTCCTCTTGAGTTCCGTTTCCTTTGTGTTTTTGGCATGAATCCCTACAAGTGCTGTCGGAACAGCGTATGGGTGACGTGTAGGTGCGCAACGCCACCAAATGGTAAATCAATGGGTGCGTGTCTAAAGGGGGGGAGGGGTAATCAAGCATGGTGTCTCCTGGTCACCCGCTTACCCGTATTCGTGTTGTTAATCCAATAGCTGGATTGCCAACCCATTATCCGACTTCATCTAAATTTCTACGTGTGTTTTCCTCTGTTTGCTTTGATCTTGGCATCGACGAGCAGGAGTACAGCTGTGAGCCTTAACAGATCACACGATGGCTTGTCAGCGACCGCGGCTGTCACTGAGCAACTGTCTCCTCCCAACATCAGTGGACTGGGTGGCAATGCGTGCTCTGAAAGAATGGCACCACAACTTCCAGACGGGCCTCTCTCCTTTTGGTTCGTCAGCGGAGAGCGCCGCAACAGAGGCATCCCCATTTTGGATCTCAACTAGGGTGGCACGCATGTTGTATGCCGCTTCACTTAACGAGAGGTCTTCATCGCGTGTGACGCGCGGTACTCACAACAGAAATGTGCATGACAAACCGAAAGAGGAGGCCAAAAGTAAAGGAAAGGAATACACTATTAATACAAGGCGGCTAGTGAACGTTTTTGGCTCTTCATTTATCAATGCAGCTGACACATCTATCTGCTCCATGTTGGACTCCGCCACATGTGTATCCTACAGGGTGCCTGTAGATGAAGCTGGCGACGTTCTGTGGTCACTGTTCAACGTGTTAAACAGTCAGGCTGTTTACAGTGCTGCGGCTACATCTGATGTATCCTTTAAGGCGGCAGCACGCTATGCCGTTTCAAAGGGCCTACCCTTGTTGTTTCACTCGCCCTACTGGCTGGAGGGTGAGGGGCTGGAGCGGCGGTGGAAAGATGTGAGAATTGCCCCAAACATTCCACCCCTTTATGTCAATTCAGGCTCCGACTGGTATGTCAATGCGGAGCAGACCTCCGATGCCTCGCGTTTTGATTGTCGGTCATGTGGCCCGCACCGTCGACATCAGTGTCTCTCAGGCAGCGGGGTGCATTATGTCTCGTGGGAATTCTCAGAAAAGCTTGCTGAAGCCTTCTCCGACACGCGGAAGGATCTGAACGAACCCAGTGAGAATGTTTCGGAGGAAAATGGTCTCGGTAGGACTGTCCCGAATTATGAACAACAGCAACAACAGCAGAAAGGGCAGCAAATCTATGAAAACCCCAGCAATCTGTGGCTTGATGTAGAACTCGTCGAGTCAGCTGGGTTCTCTTTGCGCCAAGCTGCCGTTGGTGTCGAGTTGCCGCCTTCCCAACTGAGGGAACGGGTACGTGTGCAAGTGAAGAAGGATATTTACAAGACAAAAAGGGCGCTGCGAAGATCAATGGTCGTGGTGAACGCAGAGTTCATTGTCGAGCGTGAGGTGTTGTTGGACCTTATTGCATACAAGCCTGTCTGCATTGGTCTACCACCAAGCACCTTTCTGGGTGAGGCCACAATCGTTCAGCTGGCGCTGCTATCATGCACGATGAAGTACACTTCCTCCACTTGGCTCAGCGCCAGCGTTGCACAGAGAACGCAGTTGCGCGGGCGGGGAGGCAGTGAGACAACTGGCGTTGAGGTGGCTCTCAGGCACAGATCATACGCCGCCACGTCAACGGCTGTTTTAATCAACGCAGACGAACTGGATCTTTCACAGGAACGCATTGCGGAGCTTAGCTGCTTTGCTGTGCCGGGGGGTGGCCCTCTGCCGTATCATCACAGTTAAAGCTGAGGAATGGGTGTGGCCCGTCCTCCATGCCATATTTGTTTGTTTTCCTGGCTCGCCTTTGGCTTTGTATTCCGTCTCCCCCACATCTGTTCGTGCGATATGGCTGGTGGAGCGACAACACCATCGTCTCCGCCTCTTCCGGACTCTTTGAGGACTTCCTTTTTTTTCTACCCTCCCCCCCTTTGCTTTGTGTTCGCATGCGTGGTTGTACTGTAAAGGGAAGGATAGAAAGGGAAACAAAAAAAAATAGCACACTACTGGGCGACAGAAGCACATCAAGGAATAGATTTTTTCTACGAGACTCGTTTTTTTTTTGCTTTTTTTTGGGGGTAGGTAGAGCGACGCACTTGCCGGCCCGCCCGAATAGGAGTGCACTGCAGATAATACACAAGAAGTGTGGGTTGCTGCACGTGCCGGTGTTTTTGAGCACACATACACATACATACACACATCCGCACACACACTTGCAGTCGTAGCATCGCATGGAGCAGAGGATAACCGTTGCGGTTCGTATTCGACCCCCGTTAGAAAAAGAGCGCTTTGAGCCGCTTTGCGCCCGCAAGGCTGACGATGGTCAGACTATCGTAATCAAGAGTGAAGAGTCCATGGGTGAGCCTGTGACGTTTCAATTTGACGACGTTTACGATGGCAGCGATTACCAGACTGACGTATACGAGCAGTCAGTTCAAGAGCTTGTCGATCACGCCCTCCAAGGGGCAAACGCAACCGTTCTCACGTACGGTCAAACAGGGAGTGGCAAAACATACACAATTCTCGGCTCCATGTCTAACGGGCAGCTGACGGACGAAGCTGGCATTTTCCCCCGTGTATTTCATGATCTATTCACCTACAAGGAGGCAATACAAAACCAAATACATATGGCTATATTTCTTTCAGCTGTGGAACTATACGTAGAGGATGTGATGGATCTCCTTGCGCAGCGAAAAAAAATAAAGCTTCGTGAGACGCCAGAGGAGACTATTACACCTGGCGTCAATACTGTTGAGGTGCTGTCGATGGAAGACGTGATGCAGAACTTCAAAAAGGCCAATGCATACCGCTCCGTTACATCCACAAAAATGAATGACTCTAGTTCGCGGTCGCATGCACTTTTTTTTATTGATATATTTCAGGTGCCAATAAAAAGCTGTTCACAATGCCCAACGAGGGAGCAGCTGATTGACGCGAACGGTATACCCATCAACAGTGGCATCAAGGGTCTCGTGCGGTCACGCATCGCTCTGGTGGATTTGGCTGGCAGCGAACGTGTCAAGCGGTCAGGTGTAGAAGGCCAGGCGATGGTAGAAGCGCAAGCCATCAATAAATCACTCTCCGCACTGGGAACGACTATAAACGCCATGTATGTAGAAAGTAATCACATTCCTTTTCGAGAGTCCAAGCTGACAAAGCTCCTCAAGCCGTCTTTTGTGGATCGATCATCGCGGCTTCTTCTTATCGGTCAGATTTCCCCGCCAAGCTGCAGCGCACAGGAATCACAAGGGACATTGCGATTTTGCGACCGTGTTAAAGGGTTAAAAGCAGGCAAGGTGACTGGCATCCTCGACCCTGAAGAAGAGGAACGTTATTTACGATCTCTTCGCCAGCACGATGAACTCTCCGCGGACCTACGCATTGCCGGTGTGCTGTGTTACTACAAGCCGCAACGCCCTCAGGTCATTGCAAAGCTCAAAAATATCAGCGTGACAGAAGCCCGCAACACGTCCATCGCTGCATTGCAAAAAGACGCCGACAAACTAGTAGCACGCAAAGAGGCAGAACAGCTGCGGAAAATGGAGGCGCAAGTTGCACGGGAGCATGAAAAGATGGCACAGACATTTGCTGATGAGATGAATCGCATGATTGAGGAGTACGAGACAGAGGCACGTGAGGTGAAGAAGGCTAAGAAGGCCGCAAAACGCTTGAAGGAGGCACAAGAAGTCGAGGTGGAGGAAAAACTAACGGAGGCGAAGAAAGCAAAGAAATGCCGCTTGAGGTTGGAGGAAAAATTGGAACAGTTGCGTTCCGCCTTGGAGGAGGCAGGTGTGCTGGAGACAGAAATGGATCACGAGTGTGCTCACGGCACCGATGAAGTTGCGATGCGGAGTGAGGAACCCCTCAGGGGGGAGAAGAAGTCGCGAGACAACGCAGTGCATACGCTGGTGGAGAGCTTCCACTCGCATGCGACGGAGCTCGGCCACCTCCACGACTTGTACGCACAGCGTCTGGGTGCGACGCAACGGCAGCGCTCGCAGGTGCGCCGCACGAAGCTGTTGAGCTCCACCGCTCTTATGGAGAGCACGCTGGTGTACGACATCATCGACTTCATGATCGACCGTTCCGTCGACATCGCGGACGGCGTTACTAATGCGTCGCAGCAGTACTCGTGGAACGACATTGAAGGCCTCAGCAGCATGCTGCGGAGCGGGGAGCAGTGGTACCCGCCGTTGGTGGCGCAGGTGGGCGCGGCTGCCGAGAGGTGTGAGCAGAGCGTGTACCACAATGCCACCTTTCTCAGCTCCGACGACAGCGATGAGGAGAACTCCCACTACCCTGGCGAAACCCGGAGACGTTACGTTGAAGGAAGAAGCGCGGGTCGAGGCAGCATCGACGACGGCCGCGATGGCTCCTTCGCGTACAGTGAGGCGTCTGATCTGCCTCCGCCCACACGTGAGGCAAACGCCCTTGCAGATGCAGAGGGCAGAGGGGACGGCGACGTTGATGCTGACGGTAACGAGGGGGAGGATGAACTTGGGCAGCGCAGCAACGAGGCGGATGAGCCGAAGGACGAAACAGAGATGGCCAAGGCGGAGAAGCTCCAAAGACGCAAGAGGCAGGACCAGGAGTACCTCATGCGTGTGTACGACTCGCCGACGCTGGTGCAAGAGGTCATCAAATTCCTGCGCGGTGGCACTGTCATGCTGAAGCACGGGCGCAACGGCAAGCCGCACCGCCGAGTCTTCTGGGTTGCCATTTCGCAGCACCAACGCAAGCTGCAGTGGGCGGATCCCGACACCAAGGGGGCACTTGACCGCTCCTCCATAGACCTCAGTGATGTGAGCTACATTCAACTTGGCTGCTTCAGTAAAGTATTCAAACGTTACCCGTCGAATGACTTCGACAGACCCAGCCTTCTATCGTAGCTTCTCTCTTGGTATGAGGGGCGGCAGCCGCACCGTTGATATTGTCGCCGACACTCTTCCCGATTTCGAGGCGTGGGTCGTTGGTCTGGCTAACCTGGTGCGCGTGGACCCTGTGTGGGGCGGGAGGCTTGATGTCACGAAGGAAGCGGACTTCGCGCGCCTCGACTGCTTCGCGGCGGGTCTCTGCGAGAGCAACTACATCTACCCCACACAATACATTATGCTCAAGAGGCGCGTCCACCGCATCGCGGCAAAAACGCTGAGCGCACTGGAGCAATGTGGAAACGACGCGGCGAAGGCACACAAGATCCTCCGCGGAATCCACCCCCCTGCCGTGAATGAAAAAGGTGCAGTATACCTCACAAAGGGAGAGTTGCGGTTTATTGGGCGCAACGACATGGATATTATGCGAATCACAAAGGTGTGGTTGATGTTCCAGCAGATGAACCTTGTCTACGACGATGGTTTTATTCCAGCCACGACGTTCGGTGTCACTGAACGTCACTGACTCCCGCTGAGCTGAAGGAGGGAGGTGCCCCACACGTCGTTCCCACATACGTCTGTGGGACTGCGTAGCATCGGGTTGTGGTTTTTGTAGCTTGGTTGCTTCTTTCCTTTTATCTACCCACACGGACGCTTAGCAGTGGTTGCGGCTCCCCCTCACCGGTACGAGACGCTTGTGTGCGCATCAGTGATGCTTTTTGGTTCTGATTCAGCGCAGTGTTGCAGATGCATGTGTATGTGTGTGGGGGTTTGTTATATGTACCAGGGAGGGAAGGAAGGAGGGAGAGAAGGAGGGGTCCCCATCTTTGTGTTCTTCTGAGCAACTGCTTTCACCGATTCAGTTACGCACACACCACACACCCCACCCCTCTGTTTCTGTCTCTTTGGAGGCGAGGGGCCCAGCTCCGGGTGTGGTCGCTCGTACCGCATTCCTCAGGAGGACTGCACGCTCCCTTCGCACGCCACCACATATTTCTGCACCCGAGCTTTGACACTGCACAAGATGCACCCTCCCATCTGGGCGTCCTGTTTGCAAGACTTTCAGTGTGTTTCCTCTTCTGTTGCGGCCTACAAGGCAATGGCCAACCAAAACCCTCGTCGTCATGCTTCTTTTGTCCAGGTAAGAAATACAAGCAAGAAAACAAGGCAATTGTGTCCTATGGCCGGCCCAAAGTCCAGGTCGTCGGTGCTCATCGCTGTTGCGATCAGCATCCTGCTCGTTGTGTCACCGGTGCACGCGTGGTGGTGCACTGGGCACATGGCGGTGGCGGAGATTGCCAGGCGTCACCTCGACCCCCCGGTGGCCGCCTTGGTGGAGAAGATGTCAGCCAAGCTCAGTGCCAGCGGGCCGTTCCCAAAGAACCCTGACTTCGTGCAGCTGTCATGCTGGGCGGACGACCTCAGGTCCTATGGGCTCCGGGTAATGGGGGAGTGGCACTATAGGGACACACCGTACAACCCGGAGAATATCATCCTCAATAAATCACTTGTTGCGACCGACAACGTGGTGACTGTGCTTCAGAGTTTGGTGAAAACACTGAGTGGAGAGAATGCCCCGGAGTATGTTGACAACTTTGCGCTTGGAAACATCATCCACTTCTACGGTGACATTCACCAGCCGCTGCACACCTCCACATTGGTGTCGTCTCAATATCCAGAGGGCGACCAGGGTGGCAACCTCATCAACGTGGTGTTTAAGGGCAAGGCGATGAAGCTACATGCACTGTGGGATTCCATGTGTCAGAGTCCGGAACTTAGCCTGCCGCGACCCCTTGGTTCACCGCAGTACAAAAAGCTAATGAAATTCGTCGACTACCTGGAGGAGACGTACAAATTCACGGATGAGGAGAAGGCGGAGAAAAGTGTGGCCCTTATGGCGAAGGAAAGCTTCAAGTACGCCACGACGGTGGTCTACCCCGGTGTCAGAAACGGCACGGTCATTGACGATGAGTACACCAAGAAGTGCAAGGACACTGCGGAGGCTCGTGTGGCGCTTGCCGGTTACCGCCTGGCAGCACAGCTCAATCATCTGTTTGCCGACGCGGCGCCTTCCGACGCGGCTACCCCTCCATGGGGCATTGCGCCGCAGTTGAGGAGTATCCGAAGAGCTCTTTCGGTATACCTGGGATTGCCTTTTTGGTAGAGTGAGGTCTGGCGTCATCTATTTACTATAATTTTTTTGTCGGTGGACGAGGAAAATTATTTTGCAACTGAATGGGGAAGGTCTCTTTAGCTAGCCCAGTTTGACGTCAGTGTTTATCAATTTTATTCACTTATGCGAAGATGGATTGATGGAAAACGTCCGAGTGTATATGTGCAGAGATGAAGGTGTTCGGTGGGGGTGAGTGGTGCCACACATCGCTAGTGTATGTTTTTTTCATTCTTTTTTTCTTTCTTTCCGACAAAGAAAAACGCTTTCCACTATATGTAAGAACCCTTGATGTTGCTTGTCTTAAAATGCACCGGAGCCGATTTACTTTGTTTTTTGTTTTTCGCACTTTTGCCACCTCACCGACGTGTGAGTTATTTCAATGCCATCACGGGCTCCCTCCATGACTGACGATAAGCGCTCGCTCGCATGCATTGTTTTGTTCGTAGTCTTCTTTATTCGTTAGGCGATGGACGGTACAGCCTTTATCGACGGCAAAGAGGTGCCGTGTGTCATGACGCCGAAACAGGTGCTGGTGTTATTTCCAACGGGCCTCACCACTCGAAGCGCGGTGTAGGCTCGCCGAGTAGATCTCAGCCCCAGGAGCCCTACCAGAGGGCCAATGCGCGGCCACCCGCTGCTCCTACTGCTGCGGCGGTGACGGTGACAGCGGCGGCGGG